GTTAGTTTCTTTCTATAGTCTGAGCTTTACTCTTGTAACAAATTTGTAATTAGAATAGATTTTGTAATTTATATCCAAAAAAGCCCCTGGAGGCATCTTTAACAAATTAATAAAGATATGAGCAAAACCTCACCTTAATTACAAAAAAAAAAAAAAAAATTTAAATATATTTTATGTTGTATTAGATAACTCAAATATTATATTCTATATTAAAGAAATAGAAGATAGAAATCATAAACATGTAGATTACAAAGTATTGAACTAAGTTCTTAAAACACTAACAATATAGAACATATTGCTAAAGACTTAGCAATCTATAATTCAAAATATATTATATCTTATAATATGCTATTATATAGTTAAATATTAAAAGCCTTGATAATAGCAAAAATAAACTAACTTAAAAAAAATAATTAACAAATAAACAAAAAAGCTCAAATTAATAAGCTTCAATTTAGAAATCTTTGAATACAATACAAATATAAACAAAAATATTTATACTAAAAAAAAAAGAAAATAGTTGAAATAAAAAAGTTAGTTAAAACTAAAAATATTCATTATTAATAAAAAAGAAACATTATTAGAAATATAGAATAAGAACTAAAAATATTAAAAAAACAAATAAAAGAGCTTAGCATTATTACATTACAGTATTTTTTTTTTTTTTTTTTTTTTTGAGTTAAAGTCCCTGTCTATAGAAGTTGATGTTTTTATTTATGTATTTGGACACATATGCCTCCAGAGGCTCTCTTATATTGGAGGTTACAACTAGCCACACATGCACTTTTGGTGCCTAATTTAAGTAGTCTGCCTATACATTACTATACAGGTTCTATACTAGGTGCCATACTTGCAAGCCAACTATGGGTCTTGCCTATTTAAACCCTCTGCATATGTAGTCCATCATGTCTCACAAGGTCATCTTTAAGGCTATACTTATCCAAAGTACCCAATGCCTTCAAGTACCCTTAGAACTAGTTTATCCTTGACAGAAAACTTACTAGAACCTTCTGTGTCCCACATACAGCTAATCTAGTTTTATACAACATGCTATAGTTACCTAACACTTGCAGTCACAGGAGTTATCTGTTTAACTGCTATGTTCATTATTTCTACTCTTGTAAAGTTTACTAGAACCCCAGTACCTATCATCATGATGTCTTTTCCATCATCCTTTACTAACCGCTACTCAGGACCAACAGGACTCTTCCAACTTCCAATCCAGATAGCCCAGTATAGTATACTTATGTATCTTTTTTCTCTAGTGATTCTGGTGGCCTGGTTGGTCATATGCTCCTCTACACATCTTGACATCTGATTTATCCACCTATCTCTTTGGAGATGTTTCATGGGCTTCCATCGGTCTGACTATACCATCGAAAGTTCATACTACCTCTTTACTTAGGAATTTCCAAGTGGGCTTCTGACTCTTTGGTTCCTTAGTTTACTGCACCTGGTAGTCTTATTGTGGGTTTGCACTGAAGTCTTATGTGATACTGGTTATTAATATTCCTCTATGTATATGTAATATTACACTTGGCATAGATGCCTCAAGCTCCCATTCGAGATGGTGCAACTTAAGGTTACAGATACACAAATCCAACTGATCATCAAAAGACAGTTTGCTGTAATACAGGTTAATTTCCAAATTTCATTGTAGGTGAAATTTGAACCTTAAACCTGCCACTTGGAAGATGACAACCCAACTACTACACTAGGATCACCATCCTCACATTACAGTATTAAACAAGCCAAATTGCTAATAAATTCAAAATATTAGCAAGCAACATGTTGCAAAAGATTACAAAGAGTATAGAACACATAAATATAAAAATAGCAAACCAAAAAAAAAACTAATCAATAAAGAAAATAAAGTCTTATTTTTTATAAATATGATTGAGCATAGTTAGTAGTTTTCAAAAAACAAAATATGAAACAAAAACAGATTCTTTAAACCAAATATAATAATATATGCTTTGTCAGAAAAAATTAAAAAAAAATATATATATATTTAGTAGATTTAAAAAAAAAACTATTACATTAAAACAGTTAAAAAAGTATTTAAAAATAAAAACAATTAAAAAGAAGTTTTAATTATAAATATAGCAAAAATATAGTAATAAATACTATTAAAAAAAAAAGTAAATAGCTTAAACTTATTCATATCAGGTAATTTTTAGAATATTCTAAAAATTTTGAGGTTCAAAACAATAATCTATATTTAATAGTTACACAATTTATATACTCAAATTTTAAAATAATATGTATAAATAAATTATATATAACAAGATGATAAACTCAACAAAGTGACCTGTGCATACAAATCAATTTTACTATTTCTATACTTGACTAAGATTATTAGTTAACAATGGTTTAAAAAAGCTATTTCCATGGGTGTATAAATATAAATTAATAAACTCTACTTCTGGAGGCTTTGGAAAAATGAGTAGGAAAGATTTTTAAAAATAAGTAGAAAAACACTAAATTACTAGTTACTCAAATATTTTATAGTTAGTACAAGTAGCAGTTAAATTTCTTACTAATGAGATGTATTAGTTATATACAGTAGCTAGTTTAAACTATTGCAAAAAGTTTATTACATTCAAATGCTTTATATACATTCTATAGGTTACATAAGGTAAACAAGCAATTTATAACTTTTAGAAGTGCTGCAGGTTTTCTCTTTGCAGCACTCAAATAATGATCATATTAAATAAAAATATTTATCTAGTGCAAATATAATAAAAACTTTATAATAATAATTGCAATAGCCAGGTAAACTATGTATTGTTAAAATAGCACTCAAATTTTTATTTCTACATTATAGCAATAGTATTATTCTTAAAACTAATTTATAAAGACTTTAATTCATCAAGAACAATCGAAGATAACAGACTTTGGACTATCAAAGCATATAAATTAGATATAAATAATCTAAACTCAATTGCTTATGAAATACCAGTATATGTCGAATCTTAATACTTTAAGATATATCGAATTTCAATGCTAAACATAATATGAAATCTGATATTGAAAATTTCAAACAGGAAATTACTGTTCCGAAGCTTTGAATCAAACCAAAAAAAAAATGAAGAACTGACAGAAAATATATAATCTCAATATATTTAACTTTACAATATTGGGATAACGGTCCTGCTAACTCTATTCAAAATCTACATTAAAATATATCGACATCCTATGCAGTTGGTATATTATGCATCAAAATTCAGAAGTTCATTAGAATTAAGATAGGTGTCTGTATTAGGTAGGATTATAATTGGACATTATTTTTAAGGCAATTTATTTTTATTAAAACTTTGAGTCAACACTATTCTATTAGAACATTATTTCAAAATAACGAACCTTTTCAAGTCATCAAAATTATATAAATACATATATAAATTTAGTTGGGAATAGCCAACATAGTGTTAAAGATCAAAAAAATGCCTCAACCCAAGATCTTTATTACAAATATTGATTGAAACATTAGAGTTAACAAAGGCATTATGCAAGAATATCACATTGGCCTTTTAGAATTTTAGTGAGAATAATGTTGGATTAGAAGAAAGAACAGCATTAGCAGATAAGCTTTGTTATAATCAATTTGGAACAAAAGAAGAAAAAGCTTGCAAGGACACTATACTGAATATTCGATATAATAAACTTGGATTTGAAGACAAAGCATTAGAGATGCCCTTTGCAAGAACATCATGCTAATTTCTTTGAATCTAAAATATAAAGTACATAGTATTGTTAGTTACACCACAATTAAAATCAAATACATAAATAAAATAAAACTGCATATGTATCAACATTATAATTCATATATGTATATATATAGTAACTCTATTCTACTTCTCATTGAGTTACCTTTACTAAAAGCAATACATTACTATCCTATCAGCCAATCAGAAGTCATTCTATGTGCATATGCATGTATATATAGCACCAAAATTAAATGAGTATATAAATAATATTTATTGTTCAGAGTGAAGCAGAGGACTATCAGTATACAGGTGAACTAAATGCAATGTTATTCCATTATAATATCAATCACTTGAAATTCAAGATGTCTTTTTTATAAAAATTTGGCACTCTGGACATATCATGCAATGTACATTCCTAATAACAGACTATTAATATAAACAAAATAACTAGTCTTTTTATACAATGTAAAGGTAAATTCTTATAAATTCAAATTGTGAAGTTTAACTAAATTTTATATAACAAATAAATTATTATGTAGGTGAACAGATAGATATTTATACGTATAACATATAGCACTTATGCAATACATATATAGTGAGGCTTTTGTTATAAATGAGTTATCATTATTATATATATACAGTTATGTATATACTATACTGTACATATATACGTATTCAGATAAATAGAAAATCTTGCTTAAATTGGATAATTTTTTTTTTGTATACTAATGCTAATTACAGAATTATAAAATTTTCAACACGATTCTTTTTGTTTAAAATAATTGCAATAGATTGATAGATTTAAATTTTGTTTATGATAATGTCTAATTTTTTTTTATAAGAACTTGATCATTCATATGAAGAACTTGATGGGCTTTATGATTCTTCACAAGAACTTAATGATTCCTCACAAAAATTTAATTATTTATCACATGACTTCTTACAAGAATTTGATTTCTTACAAAAGTTTAATGATTATCCACAAGAACTTGGTGATTATTCTAAAGATTCTATTATCTTATACAAAGAGAAAAGACAAACTTTTACTTATAAAATTATCAAAGAAGGCATTTACCCACCAGTCCCTACCCTTAAATATACTTTAGCACCTAATAAATATAAAATACCTGACAATTATATTGTAAAAACTACCTAGGGTTGCAAAAAAAGCAAACAGACTGTTAAGTTACAAATTAACTATATTTTTAGTACATCCATCTTTTATGTCTATTTTGGACCCAAGTTTCAAAATTATATTGTTTCAAATAAGTCGTCTAATCATGTTGCAACATTATTCCATCAGATAGAAAAATTATACGTTGTTATTAAACTTTAAGATTAGTATTACTAATATTAAGAATTTATATTATATAGCGAATTACGCCTAATAAAAGCTCAGCAACTTCTGGAATTCTTTTATTTGGTTTACAATTAAAAAAAGTTAGTTATAATCGAATAAGACTAAAGCAAGCCAGAACATTGAAGCCAGTAGAGGTACTTACAAACTCTGCACTTACCAAACATACTATTAACTTTTCTAAGACAATACACACAAATTTTCAAACTTGTACAAATTAATTTTATCATTTAAATGATAAACCTGTATTAGAATTAATTTAATATTCAGTAAAAAAACATACATATGAAGTTGACTATGGTGCTAAAGATCCAAAAAGATTGAAACAAAAACAAGAATCAGTTTGTTAAATACAAAATGATAGTCATATTTCTTATAATACTTATAGTTATCTTGCAGCAATTGAATCTCATTTACCTCGAGTATAATCAATTTCTAAAACAAAAAAACAAATTACGCAAGATATAGCTAAAGTAGTCCAATATCTGTAATTGATATACAGACATAAGCTTACATAGATTCAATTAAAGAACCTGATATTACCAAAACAGATAATGTAGAAAATGTTATTCAATCAATTGGAAAATGTAGATATAGAAGTATTATTAACATTCTCAAATTTATAATACTAAAATTAATTGAAAAACAAATTCTTAACTTTCCAAATATAAGTATTAGAATTACAGGTGATGGGCATAATGTAGGGCGTAAGGTCAAGCATATTCTAATTACATTCACTATACTTGATAATTTAGCAAATATTCACAAACCCAAATGTCATTATACTATTATTCTTTATCCTGGCACTAAAAACTACAATTCTTTAAAAAATGCAACTAGACTACTTAATAATAAATTGCATGAACTATTTATTAATGGTATTATTGTTAATAATACTAAATAGAAAGTTACTATTTACTTTAATAATAATTGAAAATTTTTATCTCTTTGTCTTGGATTTAATTCAGCAAACTCTACCTATTTTTGTCTGTAATGTACAATATCTAAAAAAGAACAAGGCAATTTAGATCAAGAATAGACAATTGAAAAAAAATAGAAGCATTAAAAATAAAACCAAATACATATTCTGAACACTAGCAGTATCTTTTATTCGATATGATTCCTCTTGATTATTGGATTGTTGATGAGCTTCACATTATGCTATGGATTATAGATCGGTTGTGAAGTCTTATATTTGCTGAAATTAAAGCTATCAGATTGTTTAATGATACTACAAGGGAGATTATTATACAAAAAATGAACAAAATTGGCATAAATTTTCAATTTTGGAAAGATCACAATACTGACAATTGGTCATATACTTTCTTAATAGGAGATGATAAGATAAAGATTTTGTATGAATTTAATCTTTCTGAAATTTTTCCAAAATCATGCGCAAAATTAATTCGTGAACTATAGGACAAATTTTATATACTATATATTTCACTTCACAATCATGCTACTGATCCATATTAATTTAAAACTTAAGCCAAGGAATGGTTAGAACTTTTCTTAACACCATCATAGGGCAAAGCAAATTCTAACAATTTTTATCAAGGTTTATACAGACCAGTTGATATCATGCCTTATATGCATGTTTTAGTTCACCATGTTCATGAATTTATAAGCAAACATAAAAAATAGGGAATGTTAAGTTTTTCTTGTAGACCTGTTGAAAAAAAAAACCATGTACAAGTTTCAGTTTTTTTTCAAAAAATGCTATAAGATGATGGAAATTCTACCAATAGAAAATTGGCAATTTATGTGATTTTAGAGCATGAAAATCAACAACTGGTTTATCTACAAAAAGAAACACCTTTGATATATAAAAAACCTCAATATATTTACATAAAATCTAAACATTCTTAAAAATTTATATTTATTATCTTACAATGAAATTTCTTTATAAGACTGCTTTATTTTCTTTTTGAATATTTTATAATCATTACAATTTATGAGTATGATCACTTCAATCTTAGTATGTAAGTTATACAATAATTTTTATTTATATATAAAATTTTAGTTAGTGCGAAATTTTATTAATATTCAACCTCTAGCATTTATAAAGCTATAAAAAATAAAATACATAAAGATGAAGTTCAACCTACTTACTCATCAGCCAGGAACTACGATTTAAATACCTACCCCAGAATAAATTATGTTTAACTAGTTAACTCAGTTAATATATATATCAAATACTATGAAACTGTAATTAGTAAATTCCTTTTAATAATTAGATAGCATTCAAAAAATAGTGAAGGGTTTTTGGCAACCTGTTAGATGGTGTATGATTTTTAGGTTAAAGTGGAAAATGTATAAATTTTTGGATGAAGTAAGTTACAATTTGCTTTATGATTTATTGAATACTATTTGTTTTATTTAAAAACATATTAACTTATTTACAAGTTTAAAGATAGTGAATTTAAAGTATATAAACTAGCTCAAGACACTATAACAAATGAATATATAAGATTTTAAAGAGGATTCAGAAAGATGTGCAAATTGCAGCTGATACAACATATTTATTACTTTGTCAAACATGTAACTCTCAGAAAATAGCACAAGAATTATTAAAAAATTTTACACCCTATGAATAAGTAATCAGAGTAGATTCATTTAATAGATTGATAACATTCAAAAAGATTGATGGTGATTTGGCTAAATGTTTTTAGCAATATGGTTAGATGGTAAAAGAATAATTTCAGATGGATTTGAAGAATACATATCATTACATACATTGCATGACTCTTAAAATTTATTGACTTTTTGGTAAAGGTAAAATTTGTTTTATTATTTATTGCATAGCATTTTCTTCATTTAAGAGCATATTCATTTATTTACAAGCTTTAGGATTTTAAACCTAAAGTATATAAACTAACTTAAAATAGTATAACAAATAAATATATCAAATTCTAAAGAGGTTGAAAGACATGCAAATTACAGCCAATATACTCAAACATGTGACCCTCAGAAAATGCACAAGAATTATTAAAAATCTTACATGTAATTAGAGTAGATTCCCTTAATAGATTGATAATATTCAAAAAGATTAATAAAGAGGGTTCAGCTCTGCATTTTCAGCAATATGGTTAGATGATAAAAGATAGTTCTAGGTGGATTTAGAGAATACACACAATCACGTACACTACATAGTTCTTATCAAAATTTATTAGACTTTTTGAATAAGCTAAAATTTGTTTTTATTATTTATTACATAGCATTTTCTTCATTTAAGAGCATATTCATTTATTTACAAGTTTAAGGATAGTAAACCTAAAGTATATGAACTAACTTAAGATACTATAACAAACAAATATGGGATTTAGAAGATGTGCAAATTACAGCTGATACAACAACACATTTATTGCTTTATGTCAAACATGTGACCCTCGGAAAATGATGCAAGAATCATTAAAGAGTTTCATGCTTTAATGTTCAAAAAATTTATAAAGAGGTTTGGCTTAGCATTTTCAGCAATATGATTAGATGGTAAAAATAATAGTTTCAAATGGATTTGGAGAATACACACAATCCTGTATGCTACATAGTTTTTAAATTTTATTAACTTTTTGGTAAAGTTTTATTATTTATTGCGTAGTATTTTTTTCATTTAAGAGTATATCTATTTATTTACAAGTTTAAGAATAGTAAACCTAAAGTATATTAACCAACTCAAGATACTATAACAAATGAATACATCGGGAACTCAGAAAATATGCAAATTGCAGCTGATACAATATATTTATTACTTTGTGCCAAATATGTGACTCTCAGAAAACAATGCAAGGATCATTAAAAAATTTTACATCTTATAAAAATGTAATCAGAGTAGATTCCTTTAATAGATTAATAATATTTAAAAAGATTAATGAAGGAGGTTTTGCTCAGCATTTTTAGCAATGTAGTTAGATAGTAAAAGAATAGTGCTAGGTAAATTTGGACTTTTTGGGGAAGTAAGTTAAAATTTGTTTTATTATATATTATGTAGAATTTTCTTTATTTAAGAGCATGTTCATTTATTTACAAGTATATAAGCTAATTCAAAATACCATAAATAAATATATAAGATTTTGCAAATTGCAACTATATCAAACATGTGACCTTCAGAAAATGACACAAGAATCATTAAAAAATTTCATACCTTATGAAGATGTAATCAGAATAGATTCCTTTAATAAATTGATAACATTCAAAAAAATTGATAAAAGAGGTTTGGCTTAGCATTTTTAGCAATATAGTTAGATGGTAAAAGAATAGTTCTGGGTAGATTTAGAGAATACACACAATCATGTATGATACATAGTTCTTAAAACTTATTGACTTTTTGGATAAAGTAAGTTAAAATTTGGTTTATTATTTATTGCATAACATTTGCTTCATTTAAGAGCATATTTATTTATTATAAGTTTAAGATAGTGAACCTAAAATATATGAGCTAATTCAAAACACTATAACAAACAAATATATAAAATTTTAAAGAAGATTCAGAAGATGTGCAAATTGCAGTCGATATAAACACCTATTGCTTTATATCAAATATGTAGATCTCAAAAAACATAAGAATTATTAAAAAATTTTACATTTTATAAAAATGTAATCAAAGTAGATTTTTTTAATAGATTGATAAAATTCAAAAAATTAAAGGAATTCAGCTTAGCATTTTCAGCAATGTGTTTAGGTGATAAAAAAAATAGTTCTGAGCAGATTTGAAGAATACATATAATTATATACACTATCATGTATAGTTGCAATTAAGATATTACCTAGTTCACAAAATATTTAAGATAAGTAAGTTAAAA